CCATAATCCATAGGGCACCCCAGCAGCATAATCCGCAGGGCACCCCAGCAACAAAGACTACGTTGGCGGACCTTAAGCACCACAACCCCAAAACCCTAAACCCTAAAACCCTAAAACCCGAAACCTTAAATCCTAAAACACTAAAACCCGAAAGACCTGAACACTAAAGCCTAAAACCCCGTAAACACCAAAACCCGGAACATTTGCGAACACCCGCTGCGCCCTGCACTCGCTGCTCCGGGGACTCCGGCCCACAATGGCTTGTCGTTTAGGGTTTCAGGCTTGGGGATTTGGGGTTTAGGGTTTAAGCTTTAGGATATACAGTAAGTGTATAGCACTGGTGTCTGGAACGTTTGAAGGGTTTTGGCCGACTATTGGCCGGGCATTTGGTGCGGCGCTCGCGGTGCGCGTGTGCTGGCTGGTGCTTGCATTTTGCGAAACTAGGGGGCTCAGGCCCAAGGAAAGTTATACATGGTTCCTTACTAGGGTGCATCCCTCTTTAGAGGGTTCTGAAGGCCCAAGGGCAAAAAAGGCTACAGGGCATATCGGGCTCCCGAATTAAGGGCCCTGTCAAGGGACCATAAAAGTACCGTAAGATTAGGACTAAGAAATGAAAAAGATCTCGGCGAAGAACTCGTAATACAAGTTAAACAGTCATAATCGTAAACACAAGGAATACAAGTAATCAAAGCAATAATAGTAGTAGCAATAACAGTCATACAAGCCACCAACAAGAAGTAGCAACAGTACTCCGAGAAGTGGCAGCAGTAACAATAATACAAACAAAGTAATTATAAGCAGGTTAAGCCCTACACCCTAAACCCTGAATCCCAGCGCCCAGAACCCTAAACCCTAGCGCCCAGAACCCTATGTACTCCTAAAATGGGTACAGACTGCATCGATGCAACTTCTTCTGCAGATGTGAAAACGCCTGCAAGCTGTTTAAATAGTAGTAGCAGTAATAGTTGCAGTGGTCCTTGATGCTTGCTGCTGGTGGCATTTGCGGCTCATGCTCTACTAGCACGCACCTCAAAACCCTAAACCCCAAACCCTAAACCTACACCCTAAACCCTAAACCCTCCTCCGCCTTTGACTTCCCAGCCTTCCCTGTTACTTTTTGCTTCTCGCTGTTCGAGCGGCTTCGCCGTGCTCTTGAAACAGAATGCCTGCCAAGGCCCCACACGTGGAAGTCTGTCGAGGATGAACGGGGGATCCTCAACCCGCCGTTGAAGGAACTGCGCTTGAACGATCCGATCGAGCATGAACATGCCAGAAGTTCGGGGGGGTGGGGGGGTGGGGAGGGGGGGATCATGAAGCTTGCCATGGCACAAAACATCATAATCCTTATTCTAGGAACCCCAAAGAGGTAGGCCCTGTTTCGGTTTCCCTAAACCTAAACCCTAAACCCTATGATTCTAGAATCTGCAAGTGCGCTTGCGCCTTCCGATGTGCATCCCTGACCTTTATGCCCAATTATTGGGCTCTGGACAACCTCTGCACAGCAGAGGATCGAGAAACAAGGGTTTAGGGTTTAGGGTTTAGGGTTTAGGGTTTAGGGTTTAGGGCTTAGGGCTTAGGGGGCTTAAGGTGCAAGGCTTTCCAGGCAAGCCCGGTCACTGCACAGAACTCCCGGGGCCATCTTGTCAGCCCTGCGCCTCAGAAATGCCCTCGAGATCAACCGATGGGGCGCGGCACTCCGGCGCCATGAAATCCGTCAGGTAAAGCCTCGGTCGAACCCAGTAAGCACCTCATAGTACGGGTACTCTTTTTCTGGGGAATCGGTGGCTTATATAAGAGACCTTACAACTCTAAACCCGAAACCCCAAACCCCAAACCCTAAACCCTAAACCCCCAACCTTAAATTGCAAAAGCGTACCAAGAAGCCAGACATGGCCCTGCCCGCTATCCGCACGGGCAGAGAGCTTGGCCACGCGTGCGAACATGTACTTCCGGGGATCGTCCAGCACCCGAAAGCATAGGCCTGGGCGCAGATACTTCGGCTCCGTTGTCTCCCTATGTGCGGAAGCCTCCTCGGCATATCGCTTGACTTTGGATCGGACCGACTCCCAATCCGTGGGCCGGATGAACTTGCGAAGGCTTGGCATGTCGGTGCTGTCTGAAACTTCCTCATACTTCAAATGGACCTGGCGCACATGTTGGTGTTTCTTGCTGGCGTCAATCAGGAACATCATCTCGGCGAGATGTGGGGATGCTTGCAGAATGGAGCATGCAGATGTGCCAGAGTCGCATGAAGGAGCCTAGTTCATGCTTGGGATACTACTTATAATGTAAGCTTTTGTTCCTTATTGAGCTTACGTACCCTTAAAGACGTTTAAAAAAAAGGCTACCCCACTATGGCACCGTAATAAAAATCCGGTGTTTAATGTCCTCTTGGGTGTTATATAAACAAAAATAGAAAATTATTCCCTAGGGGGATAGAGGAGCTCGGTGGGATCCGTTCATTTGCCTGGCCATGGCCTGGCTGATCGCCCTGCGCGGGATGTCCTCAACCTGTGCGTCCGGAACAGGCTGCGGCTCGCTATCCTGTCCTTGGTAGCCCAGGAACCATTTAAAAAAACTAACAGCAACAATAATGATAGTAATAATAATCATGATAATAATAAGAATAATAAGAGTAATAATAATAGGGGTAGTCGTTCTGGGGTTGGTTACTTCAGAAGGAAACCCTGAACCAAGAAAAGGGGAAAAGGGTATCAACGAGCTACCAAGCGTCTCATGGCCAAGAGGTGGAACAAATCCCCCGTGCCATAGAGGTTGGAGAGCCTTAGGTAGCCAAAAACCAAGGAAAAAAGTGGTGAAACTTGACTCTTCCTACTAAAAAAGGAAGCCCGAAAAGTTTAAAATTCAACTACTCCTAAACCCTAAACCCTAAACCCTAAACCCTAAACCCTAAGCCCTAAGCCCTAAACCCTAAACCCTAAACCCTACTGGCTAAGGAGCGATACATGGAAGATGTCGACCCCGACACGCGTGTTGGCGCCGCCTTTCAATGACACGCGAAGGCACGGCGGCATGCCACTTTGCATGTCTGGCTCCACACACCTGTTTAGGGTTTAGGGTTGAAATTTAGGGGTTAAGGGCTTAGGGTTTAGGGTTCAATGGACATTTCCAACAATAAGGGTCCCCAATTAGACCCCAAAGAGTTTTTGACCCTTCTTGTAGGACCCCTCGACAAAGGGCTGACCTCTCAGCGGCAATGAAGGAATGGAAGCGGTCATGTTCCTTCGGTTTTCAGTGACTCAGGGAAAAAGAAGTACATACTGTTTGGGCTACCTACCGAATATAGGGAAATTCTTGACTCCATAGAGTACATACTTTCTGGGCTACCTACCGAATATTAGGAACCCCTTACCCCCCCCCCCCCGCCCCCCCCTCCAAAAAAAAAAAAAAAACTTAGTAGCCCAGTAACCACATTATAATAAGGGCACCCTTTTTTGGGTTGGTTACTTTATCAGGGACCCACAAAAGGGTAAAGGGTGCCACTCCCTAAACCCTAAACCCAAAACCCACTGGGCTACCAAGAAAAGAAAGGTATACTACTGAACAGCCAAGGAGTTCCTGCTCGGAATCCACCAGCAGCTCGAGGAATGACTTGTCGTTGAAGTCCCCGTGGGTCGACAAGATGTGGTTCAAGCCTCAGTTGCTGAGTTCCTAGGCCCCCAGGGTTTAGGGTTTAGGGTTTAGGGTTTAGGGTACACTTTCAGTTCTATAGGGGATTGTAGTATGCCAAAAAGGTGTAAAGTGTACTCATTCAGCTGCTAAGAAGCATGCGCCGCTGCCCTGGATCTTTAGTTGGCCATTAAGCCTTGGTAGCCGGGTAGCCATCTTAAAATATTATAATAAGGGCAACCTTTTGCGGGTTGGTTACCTTGTAAGAGAACTTAGAACCCTGCGCCACTGCAGCCTTAGTTGCCCAGTAAAACCATGTTCTAACAAAGGAGCACCTTTTTTTTTTTTTTTTTTTTTTTTTTGGGGGGGGGGGGTGGTTGGTTACTTGATAAGGGAACCTTGAACTACCAAACAAACAAACAAGGGGCAAAAGGGTACCACTGGGCTACTAAGAAGCAGAATCTCACCGTCACAGATCCCACGAAGCATGCGCCGAAATCCACCCACCATCGCCTCGGCATCGTCTGACCGGAATTGCGCAGCCAAGCTTTCCTTAGCCGGAATGGGTTTAGGGTTTGGGGTTTAGGGTTTAGGGTTTAGGGATGAAACCGTGTTTATTGCGAATGAAATACTACTACTGCGGAAGGGAAAGCAGAAAGCCAGCTTAAGCTCACACTTGGCCTCTCTCTCATGTAGTAGTCCAGCGCGACGCTGAGCACTGCGGCGCCGAGCCAAATGCAGGCTTCATTGCACACGTAGGCCTATACTTCCCTTAGAACCTTAATAAAAACTATATTTTTACTATCCTCTTGGGCTTTATATAAACGAAAATAAAAAAAATCCCAAGGGGGATATAGAAGCCAGGACTTCCGGGGCAACGCCGTGCGCCGCCACTCGGATTATTGAGTCGACCACTGAAATGAAAAGCTGACCCGGGATCTGGTCACGGGGGTCGATGTATAAAACAACCTTAGTAGCCCACCAGTAACCATATTCGGGTTTAGGGTTTAGGCTTTAGGGTTTAGGGTTTCGGGTTTAGGGTTGGTAAGGGCACCCGCTTTTTGGTTGGTTACATTATAAGGGAACCCAGAACCCAAACAAGGGTAAAGGGTACCACTGGGCTACCAAGCAACCATGGTCATACGCCACAGCGCATTCAGCGTTTGGAACATGGCCATTTCATGAGTTGCCATGTTCCGCGCCACCCAGCACTCGGCACAGCTTACCAGGACATGGAGGTAGGTGTACCTATACTCCCCTTAGAACCTTAATAAAAATACTATCTTCAATATCCTCTTGGGTATTTATGTACACAAAAATAGGAAAAAATCTCCCAAGGGGGATATAGGTACATCCTGATCCTGCCGACTGACATCTTCAGCCGGCCATGTGCAACAGCAGAGTGCACCACCCAGATCAGACCAGACCTCTACTCCCGTAAGAACCTTAACAAAAATGGTATTGTTAATCTCCTCCTGGGGTTTATATAAACAAAATCACAAAGTCATTCCCAAGAGGGATATAGAGACGAAAGAGCAAGGAGCCCGTCTTCCTCGACGTGCAGCAGCACGGTGACGGCCAAGAACACACAATGTTGCACGAGCTTGCTCACGTAAAAGAAGTTCCTGGACTTGTGGCGAAGCCTCTACTGTACCCTAAACCCCAAACTCCCTAAACCCTGAAGCCTAAAACCCTACACCCGCCAAGCAGCCCAACTGGCCCTTGAAAAGTTGGGACCAGCCAGGAATCATTGTGTGAGCCGTTAGAAGTCCCACAGAGAGAACCCCCTGCTAGGGTTTTGGGTTTAGGGGCCCAAAGAAACCCTAAACCCCAAACCCCAAACCCCAAACCCCAAACCCTAAACCCTAAACCCTAAACCCTAAACCCTAAACCCTAAACCCTTAACATGACAGGCATCCTCTCCACCAAAACCCCCATGGCCGCATTCACGCGGACCTCCTGTGGGTCGCAGGGCCCTTGCCTCAAACCAGCCCTGATACATGTGTGGAACCACTTTGTGACTTCGATGCCCACATCCTTAGTTGGCTCAGGGTTAGGGTCTAGGGTTGAGGGTTTAGGGTTTAGGGTTTAGGGTTGAGGGTTAAGGGTTAAGGGTTTAGGGTTTAGGGTGTAGGGAGGTTCAGGCGTCGGCAATTGCAGGTTGTCATCGGAACGCCTGACAGCGACGCCCCTCGTCTTCCTAAGCACATCAAGTAGCTTTCACGTTCAAGATGCAGTGGATCGTGACGAAGAGGCTGGCGCAAATCTGTTGCGCACTGCTAGCAGCCAGAGATGGCCTCATGGCTCCCTAGCTTGAGTCCTCTCCTCGCTGCACAGCTGAAAGCCTACAGCCGACGACACCTCTCACTGGTTCAGGCCCTAACCCTAAACCCTAAACCCTAAACCCTAAACCCTAAACCCCAAACCCCTAAGCCCTCAACCCAAGGCTAAGAAGAGGACTCAGGCTCGAGGGTAGTGCGAATACTTGAGCGGCAGGTATCTCCGAGAGCCAAAGGCAGCCAAAAGCGGCTCTTCTCAAAGCCCCCCAGCATGCCCAATCTTTAGGGTTTAGGGAGTTTAGGGTTTAGGGAGTTTAGGGAGTTTAGGGAGTTTAGGGAGTTTAGGGAGTTTAGGGAGAGTTCAGGGAGTTCAGGGAGTTTAGGGAGTTTAGGGAGTTTAGGGGGTTTAGGGTTTAGGGTTTAGGGGTTTAGGTTTAGGGGTTTAGGTTTAGGGTTTAGTGTTTGGTGTTTAGGGTCTAGGGTTGGGGTGCAGGCCTGCATCCTCTTCAGGCCTCCGAAGTGATATGGTCAGTATCTCTGAATTGTGGTCCCTTTTTGGGGTACCCTAAGTAACAGGGGGCCGCCTTATAATAAGGACCTTATATCCCCATAGGTCCCCTTTAAGTGCTGTAGGGTCCCTCATTCCCCCATTCCCGACTCAGAACCCTGGGGAAAAGGGACCATATGCTAGAGAAGTGGCCATATGGAAGTTTGACAAGACATGATGCTCTTGGTCTCCGGCCAGAAATGTGCTGGGAAATGTGCTCTGGATGCTTTACTACTATTTGCTCAAGGCCCCCCTCAGAAAATAGAACATATTCTTCCTTGCAAGGGCCATATGGGGATTGTTGTATTGCATTTGTTGGGGGTTCTTAAGCAATTAGATCTCTAGTCGCAAAACCAGATATCAGATCAGAAGCTGGCCAGCGTCTACTTGAGGGACACCAGTCTGCGACTACAATGCCCCGCGTACAATAGGGGCCTTAATAATTAGAATAGTTTATTTTTTTTTTTTGGGGGGGGGGGTCATTATAGCATATTTATACAAACCAGAAGGGAATAATATAAATCGGTAGTTCTTCCGACCCCCCTAAATTAGCTGTGACCCCGGCTCTGGCATCCCCATCGCGCATGGGCGCAGGGGGCAGGGATGATTCGTACAGGAAACCGTGCGCTCACAGCACACAACCATGGCTGCCTTTCGTAACAGCTCTCCTCTGCTGCACTGCCCAGACTATACCGCAGCTTGCGTGTGGTCTTAGGGCTTAGGCTGTAGGAGTTCGGCAGTTCGGCGTTGCCATGCGTTTGCATGCTCAGTGATCGGATCTGGTTTTGTGGCTTACGGATGAGACGCAGTCCGCACGTACCATAGTGTCCGACTATCTTCAAAAACTAGCATTAGACCCAATGGTGATATCTTCAAACTCCAGCAAATAATTCTGATGGAGAATGAGCACTCGGAACACACAACAGCATGCTGCAAGGAACCTGTCCCAAAGGGGAGACACGATGTAAACCTCAACCCCTCTTCCTAGCAAGCAAATGGTTGCCTTCATTGCGGCCCCTGTGCTTCCCTACACCCCTAAACCCCAAACCCCAACCCTAAAACCTCCGTTAACAACCCATCGTCAAGCTACTGAGAGTTAAAACGAAACTTATGGAATCTGGGGTGTCCGAGAACTCAAAACCTATGGTCAAACCGGATGATGAGTTAAGTGCTACAACCCTACACCCCCCCCCAAAACAAAAAATAAAAAAGCAATGAACACGGTTACGCTTGGAAATCCGATCAGGAAAGAGGCAGAGCGCAAGCACTGTTAGGAGAACGTAGAGAGAGGTACACGCACGTCTGTATATATATATATATATATATATATACATGTAATTAAAAATGTTCATATATATATATATATTTATATTTATTTATTTATTTATGTATATACACATATACATACACATACACGTATATGAGTCATTATTTAAAACGCTATAGAAATGTTCACTAGTCACCAGTTTGTCATCATCTACTGGCGATATTTTCTTCCTCCCATGAAGCGATGCAGCCGCATTGGTCCGTCAAAGGCTCCTGGACGAGAGAGCTTCGGGTTTTGGGTGCTTGGGTTTGGGGTGTTTCGGGTGTGATTCTTAGAGTATTCCCTTATGGTCCATAAGTATACTATAGTAACCCCCCAAAACACTATTCTAACTATGTAGGTCCCTATATCAGCTTTGAGCGGTGAGCGAAAAACGCAAGCCCTAAACCCTGAGCCGATGGAGAAATCAGGAAGAAGGATCTTCACGGTGAAAAGACGAGCCTTGCAGCTCCCTAAACCCTAACCCTAAACCCTAAACCCTAAACCCTAAACCCTAAACCCTAAACCCTAAACCCTAAACCCTAAACCCTAAACCCTAAACCCCTAAACCCTAAACCCTCAGCCCTTAAACCCCTAAACCGGAAACCCTCAAACGTCAACCCTGAGTCCCCGAAGCACGTGAGAAGCAAAACGTCGGGACCCTGTCAGCCAAGTGTTGTAGGGTTGAAAAAGGGAGGGGGGGTTTAGGGTTTAGGGTTTAGGGTTTAGGGTTTAGGGTTTAGGGTTTAGGGTTTAGGGTTTAGGGTTTAGGGTTTAGGGTTTAGGGGGGTTTCAAGGGGGGTAGGTAGTTGGGGAACCTTAGGGAATCTTAGGGAGCCTTAGGGAGTACTGGGGAGCATTGGGGAAGCTTGGGTTACATACCCCCCTTTGCGCCTCCCTGAAGAACCCTATAAGATGAGTAGTTGCTGGTTGCAGTCTCTCAGATTAGGCTTCCTTCGTGTGAACCTCTGCTGAAGATGTCTATCAAGCTACAGGCAGCAGAAACTGCGCGTCAGACCATTTGGCACCGCCCAGCCTGCAAGCCCGAAGCCTCTACAGCCCCACAACCAAACCCTAACCCTAAACCTCAAACCCTAAACCCCAAACCCCAAAACCCTAAACCCTAAATCCCACGCTACATCGAACCCTAAACCCTAAACCCTAAACAGTAAACCCTAAACCCTAAACCTCCACCCCCTCGGCTGCCTCAGCTTGTCCAACACCTCTGCTTGCTTCTGCATGCTTTGCACAGAGCGGGTGTCGGCCACCTCGGCTGCCACTTGTAAAAAAAAACAGTCCTTAGACCCTACACCCAAAAACCCCAAAGCAAATTCAGTCCCTAGACCCTACACCCAAAACAACCCAAAACCCTACAACCCCCCCCCCCAAAAAAAAAAAAAAAAACAAATCCTAAAACCTGCACCCAAAAACAACTAAGCACTGAACCCGAAACCCTAAACACGAAAGCTCTAAACCCGAAAGGAGCCTAAGTAGTACCTATCTGTATATGTATATGTCAATACATATCATCCCCCCTTTTCCCCCTAGTTCTCAGACCTCTAGATTGCGCCCTAACATCGGGGCCCTTAAATAGAATATAGGCTTGGAGTACTATTACATATAGGGACCATATGGGGATACTATCAAATCTTATGCTCTAAGCTACTATTACTATGTAATCTTATGCCCTAAGCTACTATTCGCCTAAGACACCAAAAAAACAAAAGATAACAATCCCTATATTGCCCTTATAAGGAAATATTTATGAGGAAACAGACCCTAAACCCTAAACCCTAAACCCTAAACCCTAAACCCGAAACCCGAAACCCTAAACCCCAAGCACACCTGAGCTTGGAGTTCAGGGTTGGGGCTTTCGCCGTTCGGAGACCAGACTTGGGTGTGGACCGGGGGGGAGGAGTTTAGGGTTTAGGGTTTAGGGTTTAGGGTTTAGGGTTTAGGGTTTAGGGTTTAGGGTTTAGGGTTTAGGGTTTAGGGTTTAGGGTTTAGGGTTTGTTTTTGTTTTTTTTGTTGGGCTTTAGGGCCCGGAGAGCAATAAGGAATATTTCCTGAAATCCTTAAACCATTTAAAGAGAGACCCTTAAAAAAAGGAGGTGAATTTTCTTTGATTGAGGGGTGTTGGGTGTTCTTTTTTTTTTTTTGGGGGGGGGGGGGGGGGGCCTTGGGTGGTGAGTTCAAGGAGCCCTCAGCAACCTCAACCCACCAAACCCATACAACCCTTTAGAGATTGTGGTTAGGGCTTAAGGTCTAGGATTTACAGGATGCATCTTGAAGGGGCCACAGGGCCACGGTAGCCACCTTGACAAGAACCCTACGCCGCAATTTATGCAGTACCAACCACAAACACTGGCCAGGTGCCCTCCCCCCAAATGTGCATGGGTTTCCGAAAATGGTATCCTAACCCTAAACCCTAAACCCCTGTTTGGGGAAATACCCAATTCAGTTGGGCTTGCTGTGTGCATTTTTGCTACAATGAAGGGCTTCCCGTGTTTGCCGTGCTGGGGTGCACAGGCCCAAACGGCCCGAAACCCTGAAAACCTGAACCTAGCTATGTTTAAACTAAACCCTAAACCCAAAACCCAAAACCCTAAACCCTAAGCCCTAACACCCTAAACCCCAAACCCTAAACCCTGAACCCCAAAGCCAGCACATGCCTCCAGCTTGCCGTGGAGCTGCTGCACCTCGAGGTTGGGAAAAAACTCTTAATTAGAGCGCAAAGAAACCACCCTAAACCCCAAACCCTAAACCCCAAACCTTAAACCCTAAACCCTAAACCCCAAGCCCCAAAACCCTAAACCTAAACCCTAAACCCTAAACCCTAAACGCAAAGCCTCCTCATGCTTTAACTCTCAAGTCCAAGATCGCACATTCGACCCAAGTACCCTGAACGCTTAACCCTAGACACCTTTCCGCTTCAAAGGGTTTGTATGGGAACTTTTCGCCTGAGAAAAGGGAAAAAAGGGGCCTGGGACTGTATGGCTTTTAGGGCTTAGCGTTTAGGGTTTAGGGTTCTGGCTTTTAGGGTTTAGGGTTTAGGGTTCTGGTTGTTGGGGTTTAGGGTTTTAGCTTTAGGGTTTGTTTAGGCTTCTGGCTTTTAGGGTTTCAGGCTAAGTAAGGGTTTAGGGTTTAGGGGCACAGGGCTTTAGGTGTTTGGGGTTTGGGCTTTAGGGTTTAGCAGCTAAACTGCCCAAAAAAATCGCTTTGGTCTTGTCAGCTCTTGGTGTCTTCGTGCGCAGGAGACCTCCCCAGCCCTCTAAACCCTAAGCCCGAAACCCTAAGCCCGAAACCCTAAACCCGAAACCCTACACCCTCCGAAGCCACCGCGCCCCTAACGCTGAACTGTACTCGCAATAAGTGCTCCACTGTACTATCACTAAACCCCAACCCCCAACGAATAACCCTAAACCCTAGACCCTACACCCTAACCCCCCCCCAAAAAAAACAAATACAAACTAAATAAACAAATAAATAAGTAAATAAATATATATATATATATATATATTTTATACATATATATATATACAAAACAATAATATCTAATACACAAACAAAATAGAAGCCCTAAACCTAAACCCTAAACCCCCTCCACAGCCACCTGAGCCCTGAAACCTCAAAAACCCCCGATTCGCAAGGGGCGCCGTCTGACGGAGCCGGTTGATTTCGGCCAGGTTCGACCGGTTCACCTCCCCGAGACTCCACCAGTACATGCAACCCCCCCGCCCCCAATTAAAGGGTTTAGGGTTTATGTAGGTTCTGAATTTAGGGTTTATGTAGGTTTTGAACCCTAAACCCTAAACCCTAAACCCTGAACCCTAAACCCTAAACCCTAAACCCTAAACCCAAATAAATTCGAGCGTGAGGATCCCAAGCATACTTTAAGAGGAGCATTCCCTTGTCAAGGGGGCATTCTGAGCTCCTGGGCTGAAAGAACTCATCGTGGCGAAGGGGTTTGTGCTATACGGCTTCAGGGGTGTGGTTTAGGGTTTAGGGTTCAGGGTTTAGGGTTCATGTAGGGTTTATGGGCCTTTTGGGGGCATATGTGGTTTTCTACGGCTTTATAAGGGCTTTACAGGGGCCCAGCTTGTATCTAGTCCGGGCAGCTTGCTTTGAGCTGACATGGGAGTCGGACAGCACCAGGAGAACTATAGTCTGTAGAGCCAAACCCTAAACCCCAACCCACATCGAACACTAAACCCTAAACCCTAAACCCTAAAGCCCGAAACACCAAACCCCTCAAAACATCATCATCGCACCAAACGGGGTTCAATGTCTAGTTCAGGGGTTTCGGTTTCGGGTTTCGGGTTCAGGGTTTAGGCTGTTGGGGTTAGGGCTTAGGGTTTAGGGTTCAGGGTTAGGGTTTCGGGTTCAGGGTTTAGGCTTTTGGGTTTCGGGGCCGGGATGTGGAGGTCCAAGCTCACACCAATCTCTGTGCAATCTGATGGGGGGAGCAAGTTTTAGTTGGCAAACCTCGGCTTGGCGTTTGAACATGTTGAAGCTAGTCATGATTAGATCTAGGTTTAGGGTTTAGGGCTTAGGGTTGTGAGCACTTCCTGCCTTTCCGGTGGATCAATCCCTCCAAAGTAGAGAAACAGATGGCCGTTTCATGCTCACACACATTGGGGGTCTGTGTGTGAGAATATGCCCTCCTTACATGGCTTCTACAGTAGTCCATTTAACGCTAAACCCTGAACCTGAACCCTAAGCCCAAAACCCTAAACCTTACAACCCAAAACCCTAAACGGAGTACCCCCGCCCCCCCTCCCCCCCTCCCTCCCCCTCCCCCCTCACCAAAAACAAAAAAAGACCCTCTGTCAGGCAAATCCACGCCTCCAAGAGAGACTGCTGCTGCTGGTCCAGCTGCTTGCACCGCGTGGCCACGTGGCAGGCCAGCAGCTGACGCACAGACTCGACATGGGGGTTTAGGGTTTAGGGTTTCGGGTTTAGGGTTTTAGGTGGTTCTCTAAATTAGGGCCCCCTTTTTGGGATCCTTCTTTTCAAGGGCCGCGCCTTATAATTTGTACCCAAAATGGGACCTGAATTTAGGAAACCACCCGCATGCTCTTCTGGGATGACGGGGGGGGGGGGGGGGGGGGGGGGGCGGTTTCACCCGCCTTGTGTTGCATTACATGAGCAAGCCAACCAGTGAGAAACGATGTACAATCCCGTTACTTCCCCGGACCGCCCCTATAAGTGACACCCCCGCCCCCCACATCCCTTGATCGACCACCGTCGTGTCTTTGCTCCATCGCACTAAGCATCCTCCGGTGTGTCCGGGTGTCGAAGCATGGCAAAGAGGATGTAACGTCGATCCTTTCCCGCATGAAACACGCTGTGCTCAAAGCTGTCGTCGAACCTTGGCCGTTTGCAAGAGTTCCGTTTCGGAAGCATCCAAACTCAGAACCTTCAAACGACTGAAACCTGAGTCCCGAATCCTAAACCCTAGACTCGGCAAACCCTAAATCTTAAACCCTAAGCCCTAAACCCAGGACCCTAAACCCCAAACCCTAAACCCTAAACCCTATACAGTGCAAGGAGCACGATGGCGTGCCCGTCGCCACCGTACCCCCTCGTCTCCCCAGCCACAGTGAACTCCACTCCATCCGAGCCCTTCAACGCGAAGTGCATGACCAACTGACGGTTCGTCACCTGAAGAAGGGCTTAGGGTTTAGGACTTAGGGTTTAGGGTTTTGGTGTTTTTTTGCCGAGAAAAGCGGTCAACCTAAAATATACCCTCCCCAAAAGAGTATACGACTCTCCTTATGACAGGAAGCCGGAAGCCCCCCCCCCCCCCACATCAATTGGGGGAAAACTCCATCTTCCTTGAGGCGTGGCACTTCCAGAGCTGCAGGGGCTTGAAGCTGGAGGTTTAGGGTTTCGGGTTTAGGGCTATGGGCTCTTGCAGTCCTGCGGGTGTAGCTCGACGTACGTGTCAGGGAGCCAGGCAACTTGATTGCAAGCTCTCCCGACACATTCCCAAAATCTAAGGGTAGGGTTTAGGGGTTAGGGTTTAGGGTTTAGGGTTGAGGGTTTAGGGTTGAGGGTTTAGGGTTGAGGGTTGAGGGTTTAGGGTTTAGAGTTTAGGGTTTAGTCACATGGGCCGTTAATGTGGTCCCTTACCTCTTTCAAACGGGTTCTGAAGTATGGGCCCTTGGGTTTTATAGGGCACACAAGGGGTTACAGAAGGGGTCCCCGTTTAAGGGCCCATACTAAGGGATCATAACTAGGCTAAGACAAAAACATTGAACTAACCCAACTCAAACCTGAAAACTATGAACCCCATAAACTCCCTAAAACATAAAAAAGCACACACACACACACATACACCCTCTTTAAAACCCTAAACCCTCCAACCCTAAACCCTGAACCCTGAACCTTGAACCCTGAACCCTAAACCCGAACCACCCTTCCAAAAAAACTTGTAAATCAAAGCCCACGGCGCCCCACAGTGTGGCATGATCCGGGCTCCCGGGTCGAGACTAAGGAGGCTGACCACCGCGGACTTGTTGATGTCGGGGTGGGGCGAGGCCTTGCCGTTCGGAGGGGCTTAGGACTTGTGGAGGTTTAGGGTTTCAATAAGTTGTTGTTTAGGATTAGGGATTAGGGTTTAGGATTTAGGGGTTGGGGCTCTAGGGAGCGACGGTTTAGGGGGCTTTGGAGGCGTTTAAGGGTCCGGTGCAGGCGTTTGGGCCTCTAGGATTGGTTTTTGGAAGCGTTCGGGGTTTTGTCGGCTCAGGCAATTGTAGTTTTAGTGTCATTTAGGGCCCGTATTGTAGATATTTGTACATAAATATACACATAGAAAAGCTGTAAGTGCGGCAAAGTAACAACACTTGTCGTGTCAGGGGCAGGGGCTGGGGACCGTGTGGAGGGCGACAAGGAGAAACAACACAAGCCATGTTGGGAGGTTTTTCGACACCAAGATAGCAACCCTAAACCCTAAACCCTAAACCCTAAACCCTAAACCCTAAACCCTAAACCCTAAACCCTAAACCCCAATGTCACAAAGTCAAGTGTCCGGGTTCTCCGGGTCGCGAACCAGGGCAGCGAGGGTTGGGATGCCAGCGCACTTCGCCTCATCAAGCTTCACGCTCTTCGGGTCGTAGAGCAGGTACTCAGACCACTCGGCACCATTCCGGTCCTCTGAGGAGATAGGGAGAAGGGGTGGTAGGGGTGGTAGGGGTGGCAGTGGTAGTAGTGGTAATGGTAGTGGTAGTGGTAGTGGTAGTGGTAGTGGTAGTGGTAGTGGTAGTGGTAGTGGTAGTGGTAGAGTAGTAGTAGAGTAGTCGTAGTAGTAGTCGTCGTAGTAGTAGTAGTCGTAGTCGTAGTCGTAGTCGTAGTCGTAGTCGTAGTCGTAGTCGTAGTAGTAGTAGTAGTAGTAGTAGTAGTAGTAGTAGTAGTAGTAGTAGTAGTAGTAGTAGTAATAATATCCAGCTTTTGAGGTTTAGGGCTCGGAATCTCAGGGTGACGGTATTGTTGCAAGCTTTGCGGGGTATCAGAGTTTGATGCCGCCATTTGGGAATTTCCCAAAATTGGGAAATTCCTTTTTATAATTCAAACTCTCATCAAGGGCCCCGAAAAGGGTACCCCTATTTTCGGAAACCTTCATTTGTCAAGCATAGCCTCGCAAGAACAGGCTGAAGCTTTCTAGTGGTGTCAGATGAACCCTTGCAACCCCCCCCCCCACCCCCCCCCCCAACGCAGCAGGGACCCTAATATAGGCGCCTTGACAATTAGAACAGGGTCTTGGGGGTCATTATAGCATAATCATGTAGGGACCACAATCAAATAGTACAAGTGATTATTCCGACCCGAATAAGCCCTAAAGATCTGCACCCTTAATACTACCCCTACACCCTCGAGCCACCCAAACAAAGAGCCTCGTCCACGGACCCTGGCACGACCAGTGCTGAAGGGGAGAAGATGCGCTCGAACGCGCCCTTGCCTTACTTCTCCGGTAAGCAAGGAACAAGAAGCTTGAAATTGCTTCTTCCAACTTTCATTCAAGAACCCCCCAAACAATTGGCTAAGGCAAGTTGCTGAGAAGAGCATCCAACTCTTCCGTGATCCTCAGCTTCGTACATGGAGCTTTAGCTTACAGGGTTTGAGGTGTAGGGTTTAGGGATAGGGTTCAGGGTTTGAGGGTTTCTGGGTCGAGGTTCCCCATGTCACCGTCCTGAGAGATGCGAGCCCAACCCTAAACCCAAAGCCAAAATCCTAACTAAACCCTACACCCCAAACCCTAAACCCTAAAACTCTGAAACCCTAAGACCCTAAACCCTAAACCCTAAACCCTAAACCCTAAGCCCTAAACCCTAAACCCTAAACCCTAAACCCTAAACCCTAAACCCTAAACCCTAAACTCTAAACCCACACCCGAGACTTCGTGAGAAACAATGCCCCTGCAAGTTGGTCCCGATGCTCTAGACTCGGAGTCGATCCGTCCCCACAATGCTATAGAAGCCCAGAACCCACCCTACCCAAGCCTACCCAAAGGAGGAATTCACTACCCTAGACTATATCCATGTATATCTTAGTTGCTGAGGTTCATAAGCCCCAAGAAAGTGTACACTTTCTCACTCAGCACGTAAGATTTCAAGTCTGCCGCCGAATCTCTGTGCACGTGTGGTTTCGTCCTGCCAGGCTGCCTCCAATCGCCTCACCAGCTCGAAGGAATCACCCTGCCGTGAGTCAGGAGAAAAAAGAGGTTTAGGGTTCGGGTTGTTTATGGTTTAGGGTTTAGGGTGCAGTGAGTCAGGTGCGAATTTGGGATTTTTGAGGTATCGTACAGGGTTTTGGGTCTTCGGGTAGGGTTTTAGAATTCTAGGGTTTGGGTACATCGAGTTTAGGCTACATAGGCTGTAAGGGTACACCCCTGAACCCTAGGTCCCCCGAGCCTCCCAAAACCCTAAACCCTAAACCCCAAACCCTAAACGTTGTACCCTGCGGTTTAGGTTCGCTTAGGGTTTGGAGTTAGGGGTGATGGGTTTAGGGGTTCCGGGCTTCGGCTTTCCTTCAGGACTAAATGAATCCTGAAACGGTTTATGGTTCCTATACTCTAGTAGGGATTGTAGTAGTACAGGGTAAATGACCCCATTTTAGGATTCATGGGGTCCTTAAGGTTAAGGTTTATTATCTTATATATACATATATATATATATATACACATGTGTACATATATATAACAACAATAATAACAATCTATATCTACATATATATATATATACATATGTATATATATATATGTATATATATTTGCTCCATATAGATAGATAGATAGATCGATAGATAGATGGATAAATGAATAAACAAATAAACAAATAAATAAATAAATAAATAAATATATATATATAATAATAATAAACAAACAAACAAACAAATAAATAAATAAATAAATATAAATATAAATATATATATATATATATATGTATATGTATATGTATGTGTACACAGGGTCGAGCACTCGCCGCCTCCCACCAAGGTTGGCCGCGGTAGCCGGGATGGAAAGTACGGGGCGTCCTGAGGTTTTTGTGGGTCTAGGGTTTAGGGTTTAGGGTTCAGGGTTCAGGGTTCAGGGTTCAAGGTTTAGGGTTTAGGGTTTAGGGCGCTGTCTGATCCTAAGCCCTAAACCTACACCACGACAAGACCCTATTTATGGAGCAAATCATATAAGACTTCAGGGTTCGTGTAGGGAGACCTTGTCCAACAACATGTGCCTGCCGCTGTCGTACGTGCCCGTCCCTACCAGGGGTTTGGAGGCAGCAGTAATGCTAGCCTTCTCGACTCAGCTCATATTCACCCTAAACCCTAAACCCACTAAACCCTTAAACACTTGAACCCTTAAAACCTTAAACCCTAAAAACCCCAAATCCCTAAAACCCTTCAACCCTTAAAACCCTTAAACCCTAAACCCAATGTGCTTAGCGGAGCTGCTGCCAGGAGTTTTCGTAGTGCGTGGCGGCGTACGGATGGTTGTTGGCGAACTCCATGGCATTCTGCAGCCGCTCCTGATCCCCGATTCTGCGGTAGTACCTGAAGCGGTTTGTGGGCAGAGGATTCTATACGGTTTGGGGCTTCGTGTTTAGGACCTATACAGGCTTTAGGGTTTGTGGGGGCTGTAGGTCTTCGGGTTGAGCGTTTAGAATCTAAGCAAGGGCTTCGGGCTTCTGGGCGATGTAGGGTTGTGGGGCTAAGGTTTACAGTTCAGGGCAACGTGTGGTTACAGCGTCAAAGGCGAAAGGGCTTATAGGGCCAGGGACCCCCAAAAACCCTGTAAGCCTAAACCCCTTCAACACATCTCTAAACGCCGAAGGGTCGAAATGCCTAAGGGTCCATGCCATTAGCAGCCCAAGGCCCTGCTGTATGCTCACAACAGCAACCTTAAGCCCTAAACCCTAAATCCCAAACCCCAAACCCTAAACCCCATGAGCTCTAACTCGGGCCCCAGGAACAGCATGGCAGCCGTGATCGCCTGGTTGAAATCGTCCTTTTCCGAAGACTCCTCTCTCTGGGAGCCGGGGTTCGGTTTAGGCTTTGGGGTTTAGGGTTTATGGTTTAGGGCTTAATCCTGCTCAGAGTTTGGTGCTAAATCTCATCATCACACGACACAAGGGTTAGAACACTACTATTACGATTGCAGCTGTGTTGGCTATATGGTCTCTTCTCTAAATAATGGTCCCTTTTGGGTTTCATTCCGTTAAACATGTTAAATCAGCGGCAGTCTTTGGTATGAAAAGCCTTACTGGCTTCTATGGGTCCATGAGGTGTCAGCATATTCACGATCAGATGTGTATTTTTTCTCCAAGCTAGCCTTGCTCAAAGCCTGTGTCTCCCTGATAGGAAATCGCTTGGGGACCCCGAAATTCGATGGTTTTGACGGTATCCCGCCGTATTAATTTCCTTATTGTGTCTGTATTCACAAGCAGCCTGAAGCGGCTACTCATTGTCACTTGTCGACGGGTCGCGGCCTCAGATACACAGTGCAGCAAAATGATGGTCCCTTTTGGGGTCCTGATTATACATGCGGCCCCTAAAACATGGTGTACCCCCACAAAGAGCCCGAATTTGGAGAACTGACCATATTGTTCTGAACCCGAAGTCTTCAACCATGCTCTTTCCTGATGCTTCCGCCTTTTTCATTGGGGAGCCTTCGCGTGCAAGTCACAGGACCAAGGTGAGGCTCTAGGGTTTAGGGTTGATGGAAATTCTATAACGTTTAGGGTTTAGGGTTTAGGGCTTAGGGCTTAGGGTTTAGGGCTTAGGGCTTAGGGTTTAGGGTTTCGGGTTTCGGGTTTATAGAAATGGTATAAGGTTTGGGTGAACGAAGACTTTTCGGAAACGTTTTGAGGGAAGGTTTTTGACTGAGGGCTTCTGTGTGGAGCTTAGGATCACATCTCAGGAGCTTTGGGGGGGGACCTACAAACTTAATTTTCACGTTTTGAGTTTTGGGCCACGGACAGACCCCCTCCCGGAGGCCCCCAACCCTCACCCCAAACCCAAAACCCCAAGCAAGGCCCCGAATCTCAACCCTAAACCCTAAACCCCAAACCCCAAAACCTAAACCCCGAACCCCCTAACCGCCTAGACCCTCCCAACCCCCAAGAAGGAGCCCAACTAAACTATCTTGGGCCCGAAACATTCAAGTTCGAACTTCAAAGCCCCAACTTTTGGTTTAGGGTTTAGGGTTTCGAGCATTCAGGAGGGTCTAGGGTCTAGGGTTTAGGGTTTAGGGTTTGGGGTTAAGGGTTGAAGGTTTAGGGTTTAGTGTTCTTAAGGGAGGGGGGGTTCAAGGGGTGTATGTACCCCAGGGTTCCCTGAAAAAAAACCCACTGCAGCTCCCTAATGCCTAAGCTTCCCGAAGGGTTTCTAGGTACCTCAAATGAGCCCCCTCCCGTAAGAACCTTTTCACCGAAGCCCCAAAAACAGAGCCCTAAAAGCCCCAAACCTCATACTCCCCAATACCCCAACCTCAAAAATCTTAAACGCTTGGGGTGTATAAGGTCTAGGGTTTAGGGTTTTAGGGTTTAGGGTTTAGGGTTTCTAGAGTTCATAGGGTTGAATTATAGCGTTTAGGGTTTTGGGTTTAGGGCCTACAGTCCCGGAGCCCTAAAACTCTCGCGATACCGGGGAACCCTGAACCCTAAGCCCGAAGCCCTAAGCCCAAACCCTAAACCCTAAACCCTAAACCCTAAACCCGAAACCCTAAACCCTAAACCCTAAACCCTAAACCCTAAACCCTAAACCCTAAGCCTGAGCCCTAAGCCTAAACCCTTGTGAGCGCGGGCAGGTCTTCTTCAGATCTCCTCCGTTGCGTATGCATTCTGCCCCAGGGGGTGGACGGCACGCTGGACCTGTATGATAGGGTTGAGGGCTGAGGGCTGAGGGCTGGGGGCTGAGGGCTGCTGAGGGCTGAGGGCTAAAGGCTGAGGATTGAGGTTGAGCAGTTGTTTCCAAGTAACCTTGCTAGACTCAATTTTCTGAGGCGGCCCTAAACAGGCTTTCAAGGTCGTCGGTTGGCTAGGCTCCCACGAACCCATTCTTGTCTACTGGGCCTAAACATATTCATAAGCAAGGAATCTAAAAGAAGCCCTTAAACCCTATACCCGAGACCCTAACCCTAAACCCTAAACCCCAAACCCTAAACCCTAAGCCCTAAACCCGCAAAAGCCTGAACACAAAAAAGAAAATGTGATACCACTGGGGAGTCCTAGAGACTGCCCACTGGGCGGCCAAGGCTGCGTGCTTCCTTGCTTGCAGCTCAGGGTTTAGGGTTTAAAATTTAGGGTTTAGGGTTTCGGGGTTTAGGGTTTAGGGTTTAGGGGTTAGGGGTTAGGGGTTTAGGGGTTTAGGGGTTTAGGGGTTTAGGGGTTTAGGGGTTTAGGGGTTTAGGGGTTTAGGGGTTTAGGGGTTTAGTGTTTAGGGGTTTAGGGGTTCAGGGGTTTAGGGTTTAGGGTTCTTCCTTGTTATTGCTTTGGGGAACAAGGGCTAGGCTTCCTTCTCACGTCTTCTAGCTTGGCATAGGCTGCAACTCCCTCGGCCCCGAGCCGTCTAAAAAAACCTATTCTAACTCTTGAGGCCCGTATAGCCCTAACCTAAACCCTAAACCCTAAACCCTAAACCCTGAACCCTAAACCCTAAACCCTAAACCCTGAACCCTGAACCCTAAACCGCGAGGGCATGCCGAGCTTCGTGTCCCGGGAGAGGACGGTGTAGACATCCAGCAGCCGGCCATAAAGTTGATACATGCGCCACTCCTTTGAGTCCATGTCTTTTTTCCCAGGGTTTCGGGTTTAGGGTTTAGGGCTTAGGGTTTGGGGTTTAGGGTTTAGGGTGTGGGGTTATTTAGGGTTTAGGGTTTAGGGTTTAGGACTTAGGATTTAGGGTTTAGGGTTCATATTAAAGAGTGGACCGTTTTGAGGGGAGGGCTCCAAGGGAAAAGGGTGGGAGTTTGGGGCTTTGAGGGGAGCATCAGAGGGTCGAAACACCACACCATCTCCCCGAACCAAGGATGTCCGTAAACCCTAAACCCTAAACCCTAAACCCTAAACCCTAAACCCTAAACCCTAAACCCTAAACCCTAAACCCTAAACCCTAAACCCTAAACCCTAAACCCTAAACCCTAGTTTAGGGGCTTCGGGCTTACGTAATGCCCGAAGCAATCCTTACAGCCTGTACCCTCGATAGTTGGCAGCTCGTGGCAGAGCACTGTGCAACCGACGCCCAAGAGGCCCCCCCCCACACACAGTATAAACAACAATTCTACTTAAACCCTGTCACCCCGAACCCTCTAAAGCCTAAACCCTCTGAACCCTAAAAACGCTAAACCCGAGGCCCTCTAAAATCCTCAACCCTAGACCGCCTCAACCCTCTCAACTTACTAAACCCACGAAACCCGAAGCCCTCAAAATCCTAAACCCTAGAGCCTAACCCCCCCCCAACCCCCTAAACCCCCTCAGCCAGCGGAACCCTAGACCCTCGGAACCTAAACCCCCCAAAACCCCCGAACCCCCCTCAACACACAAGCCACAGAAACCCCCATCAACATCCTAAACCGCGAGCCCAACAGCCTGGAAAACCCGAGATCCTTCTAAACCCTAAACCCTAAACCCTAAACCCTAAACCCTAAACCCTAAACCCTAAACCCTAAACCCTAAACCCTAAACCCTAAACCCTAAACGGGAGGCCCCGAGGTTGAACTTCGCCAGCTCCGTGAGCTCTTCTGCTGCAGCTTCCAGGCTCTTCCAGGAGTCCTTCCCAAGAGGGTACCGCTTCTGGCATTATTGGGTGGGGTTTGGGGTTTGGGGTTTGGGGTTTGGGGTTTGGGGTTTGGGGTTTGGGGTTTGGGGCTTGGGGCTTGGGGTTTGGGGTTTGGGGTTTGGGGTTTGGGGTTTGGGGTTTGGGGTTTGGGGTTTGGGGTTAGGGTTTGGGGTTTTCGGGTTTAGGGTTTTCGGGTTTAGGGTTTAGGGTTTAGGGTTCATTAGGGTCATTGGGGTTTGAGGGTCTTGGGGGGTTTGGGGTTTCGGGTTTAGGGGGTTTGGGGGGTTCGGGGGACGAGGAGGCCCCTAAACCCTCAGCCCTACACCCCCTAAAACCTCAAGCTGAAAAAACCGAACACCCCGAACACTCATGCTAGGAAGCCTAAACGCGCTAACCCCCAAACCCCAAACCCCAAACCCCAAACCCCAAACCCCAAACCCCAAACCCCAAACCCCAAACCCCAAACCCCAAACCCCAAACCCCAAACCCTAAACCCTAAACCCTAAACCCTAAACCCTAAACCCTAAACCCTGCTAAAAGTTCTGCCGGGACTCCTCGGAGACATGGCCGCTACGAAGGAACCTCGGCATGACCCGCCGCCCCAGGGATGTGTAGGCTTAAAGAGGGTTTAGGGTTTAGGGTTTAGGGTTTAGGGTTTCGGGTTTGGGGTTTGGGGTTTGGGGTTTAGGGCTTGGGCGGTTTTAGGGTTTAGGGCTTGGGCGGTTTAGGGTTTAGGGTTTAGGGCTCAGGGCTTGGGCAGTTTAGGGTGTTAGGGTTTAGGGTTCAGGGTTTAGGGTTCAGGGTTCCTGCTGATCCATAGTAGGTCCGCTATACTTTAGGTACCCCCAAAAAGCTCCATTATGTAGAGGAGTCCTATTGCAATTATTGTTAAGGCCCCTATACCCTGCGTAGGCCTAAACCCTAAACCCTAAACCCTAAACCCCAAACCCTAAAACCTAAACCCTAAACCCTAAACCCTAAACCCCAAACCCCAAACCCTAAACCCTAAACCCTAAACCCACCCTGAACCCTTAGACCCTAAACCCTATGTAGAGGAGTCCTCCCATACCTTCTTCAGAGCCGGCGGGCTCGGCTTCGAAGCTGTCATAGTGCTGGGCAGCCGACACCCACAAGGCCTCTGGATACTTTCGGGGCCTGAATAATAATAATAATAATAATAATAATAATAATGGGGTCTAGGGTCTAGGGTCTAGGGTTTAGGGTTTAGGGTTTAGGGTTTAGGGTTTAGGGTTGAAGGTCGAAGGTTGAGGGCTGGGGTTATAGGTGCCTAAGAATTCGAATAGGGTTTTTGGGGGGGGGGGGGGGGTTAGAATAATTTCTCAAAGGGATCATAGGGGAATACTATTAGTAATTATTCCGACGCCTAGATATTCTCCAGCTGGGGTGTCGAGTTTAGGGCTAACAGGCTTCAGGGAACCCATAAACTCTAAAAATCGTTTGCGCTTATAAGCAGATTGATAAGGGCCCCTTAGTTCGGATAAAAGCACACGATAACGTACTCTACATAAAGAGATCGGCGCCGTCAAGATGGGTATACTAGTTGAAAATCGGTGTAGTCTTCCAGATTTTCAGGGACACGCAGGCCTCCAATTTTGCAGGAAGCGCCGGGTCTAGGAGGAGCATGTCGATGTTGATCAGCCGCGTCCGGGCACGCGGGTAGCCCGCCTGCATCGACTGCTGGAAGCACTGCCGGGCCTGCGAGGGCGTTCTTGGTGGAAAGGGTTTGTCTTTCGGGTTGAGGATGCGCGGCCCGTAGCGGCCCCTCCCTTATAAGGCATAATTCATGCTAAAGTAGAACAGCACAAGGAGGGCTACTGGACGGTTCCGTTCTAGGGGGACGGCCGCTAACCTGCGAAGCTCCAGCCAAAAGAGCTGTGGAAGGACGTGCGCCTCTTCAATCTGGCCTCGGGCCTCGTGCGCGGCACCCTGCTGGAAGGCCGCATCCGTGCCCGCCAGGTCTTGGCGCGTCCCCGTCACCACGTGCCCTTGGCTGGCAGCCCGCGCCCCGCGGCGCGCCTTGCGGTACGCCGCCCCGGCGCAGACGACGCCGAAGGCGCATAAGGCCTGGGTAGCCATATATTGCTATCAGAGTGCACCGGTATGCGTCGGTGGGCTACATGCGTCGGTAGCTTAGAACGGGATCCCAAACCCCCCCCCCCCCCCCCCCCTCAAAAAAAACAAAAACTAAAACCCAGTATATACTTAAGGGTACCCGCTGGCATGCAGTCCAAGAGGCCGAGCAAACCGTGCCGGAGAACCCCCGCTCGCGGTGGGCATCCAGCTGGCTGGGCACCGCAAAGACCGGGCCGGTAGGGAGCTGCGGCCCCGCGGCAGAACTGCGCCACTGGGAGCAAAAGGCCGCCGTCATGTTGCGCCAGAGAAGCTTCCAGCAATCACTTGCTGCAATGATATTTTGTCATTACGATTTCCAGAAGTCTCATTCTAACTATGACAGTGCATGTGGTTACTATTATAGTCATCACCGTTCCTCTATATAGGCTGCGAGGCAAGGCTAGGTAGCGGTGAATGGTGTTCATTTTGTCGTCCTGGCCTCCCTCTTTCTCCTGGTATCAGAAGTTTTAATAGTTGAAGTGTCGCGGCAAGCAGCCATCTGGACTTGTAGGGTTTAGGATTCTTAACCCTTTAACCCTATAACCCTAAACCCTAAACCCTAAACCTATAAGCCCGAAACCCTCATCACCTCATGCCAGCCATGCTGATAGTTCGGGTCTTTCTGTTTGGTGTTAGGGGGGAAGCTCTACCTTTCACTGCTGTGGGGCCATTCCAGGTCGGACGTCGCTGCACCCCAACCTGAGCCACATCCTTGGGGACGAAATGAACCCTAAAAGGGTTTATGGTTCATATACCTTAATAGGAATTATAGTAGTGTAGGGTATATGACCCCAATTTTAGGGTTCATTTCGTCCCCGAGGATACTCTTAACCCTTCGCGTGACATGCCCCCCCCCCCCCCCCCCGCCCACACCCCTGCGTGTGTTGGGGCGCCATTTGCACATGGTATCTACTGCCGCTGCGAGGCGAGACGCCCTAAACCCTAAACCCTACATACCCTAAGCCCTAAGCCCTAAACCCTAACCGCCCTGAATCCCAAACTCTCAAACCAACGTTCCGAAACCTCCCCCAAAATGTCCTCCCTTCCCCAGTGCCTGTGGAGGAGCCCAGGGCGTGAGCCTCGGAGTGCATTGGGTTTAGGGTTTAGGGTTTAGGGTTTATGTTTAGGGTTTAGGGTTGAGGGTTGAGGGTTTAATTAGGGTTTAGGGTTTAGGGTTTAGGCGAGCTTGCCAGCTGGGACATCCTTCATAGCACATAGCTTTTGCGGGCTTTTTAGGGCACTTCGTAGGAGAGGATTTTAGGGTTCACGGGGTTTGAGGCAGCAGGAGGCGCTCAGGGACGACTTTAGTCGGGGTTCCGGCAAGCACTCATGTCAAGTTTGTGTGTCAGAAACCGAAATTTTAACCTCAAACCTTATTCTATGAACCCTATAAACCCTGCATACCCTGTAAAGGCCACAACGCCAATGATTCCCAATATAACCTATAAACAAGCTTCTATCGGAGGACAGTTGCACCAAGACCCAGCTAAGAGTGGAGCCTGACCCCTAAACACCTTTTCCCTAAATCCTGAACCTTGACCTGAAGGTTTGGGGTTTGGGTTTAGGGTTTAAGGTGCAAGAACAGCAAGAATATCCTGTAACACCAACCCTAAAGCTGAAAAACTCGACCCGAGCCCCCCCCCCCCCCCCAACCAGAAAAAGAGCGACTAGGGTTCGGGTCAACCCTACACCCTAAACCCTAGACCCTAGACCCTAAACCCGAAACCCTAAACCCTAAACCCTAAACCGAAAGGTTTCGGGCCCAGGGATGCGAAGCCAAGCCCCACGCAGCTCCTTTAGGTCCAAGCGCCAGAACTGGAGGTCCGAGAACATCTGGACAAGCCACAAAAGGGCCAAGGGTTTAGGGTTTAGGGTTGAGGGTTTAGGGTTTAGGGTTTAGGGTGTCTTGGGGCAGTTACATGGCCCCTGAGTATGGGCCTTTCAAAGAAGGGGACCCCTTGCTACCCTTTTTTCAACTCAAGGGCCCTTACATAAGAACCCTATACGGGAGGCAAGGGATCATACTAAGGACCCATGAAACTAAACCCTAAACCCTAAACCCTAAACCCTAAACCCTAAACCCTAAACCCTAAACCCTAAACCCTAAACCTAAACCCTAAACCCTAAACCCTTAACTTGGTACCCCAGTAACATAAGGGCACCCGTTTTTGGTTGGTTAATTTCTAAAAAGGCCTTAAACCCAAAAAAGGGAAAAGGGTAATTACCACTGGGCTACCAAGTTAAAGGCTTTAAGGGCTTTACGGGCTTTAGGGTTGTTAGGGGCTTTAGGGGTTTTAGGGCATTAGGGTTTAGGGTTCAGAGGCTTTCGGGGGCTTTAGGGTTTAGGGGCATTAGGGTTTATAGATAGGGTCAGGACGTAGGGCCTTGACAAGGGGATGTGATGTTGGGTCATGCGTGCCATATTCAGGCAGCACTCAATCCTGGCATTTAGGGCAAGAGGGGTGAGTGGTACCCGCCGTAGTCGATTCACGACCCAGCCTCGCAACCACCAGCTAGTTCCTTTTTTCCTTGAAGTTTAACCCTCTCGATCAAAACTCGACATCTCTAGTGCACCAGCCCCTAAGGTGTGTAGGGTGTGGGGTTTAGGTGTTTCCTGATGCGCGCGTGACGCAGCCTCCAGCTGATTCAGCAGTTTACCCGACTCGACTGCAGCTCTTGCCGCAGTGTACCTCGCACGGTTCCAGGCAGTATCCTGCCAGTTGGACATCTGGCTGTCCCTCGGGGACGAGATGAACCCTAAAATTGGGGTCATATACCCTACACTACTATAATTCCTATGAAGGTATATGAACCACTATAATTCCTATTAAGGTATATGAACCATAAACCCTTTTAGGGTTCATTTCGTCCCCAAGGTCGAAGCCTCTTAGGCAGGGACGTGTGTCTCGGCACACAGCGGCAGGAAAAATGACGGACTCCGGGCTGCCGGCAGGAAACTGCCCTTAGGGTTTAGGGTTTAGGGTTTAGGGTTTAGGGTTTAGGGTTTAGGGTTTAGGGTTTAGGGTTTAGGGTTCTGAGCTGGCGGCACACTTCGTTGCAGGACGCAGGCGACAGCAGACGGTAAAGCTCTAAGAAGCATGGACGAACTTGTAGTAGATGCATATTTGTTGTTTAAAATGTGCTGCGTGACAATGCAACACAAAATGGAACGATTGCTATGACATGCGGCGTGATTTAAACCCAAAAAACCTACGCCATGCAACCCCGATCCATAAATCCTCCAAATATTCCTAAACTGTGCCTACAACCCCAAGCCCTCAACCCCCCAAAAGAACCAGACTACGCTCTTTTTTTCGCCCCCCCCCCCTCCAACAAACAAACCTAAACCCTAAACCCCTAAACCCCTAAACCCCGAAACCCCGAAACCCCTAAACTCCTAAACCCCGAAACCCCGAAACCCCGAAACCCCGAAACCCCGAAACCCCGAAACCCTACCAACATTTTGAAAGCAGGAAACCCACACAGGGGCTCCAGGCGGCAAAGAGCGACTCCTCGTCCTGCGCCCAGTCCGCCTGGTCACCGCCTGGGTGTTGAGGCTTCTAAGAGTTCCGGACCACGGCTGGGTTTAGGGTTTAGGGTCTAGGGTTTTGGGGTTTAGGGTTTAGGGCTAGGGTTTAGGGTTTAGGGTCTACGGCTTTTTGTTCGTGGTTAAGGGCTTCTGGTTTCTGGAGCTGACGACTTTACGGCTTTAGGGCGGGATCTAGGGTTTCGGGGGGCTTGCCCTAAACCCCAAACCCCAAACCCCAAACCTTAAACCCTAAATCCTAAACCTACCAGCAAGCCCTGGGCCCGGCCCTAAACCCTAAACCCCATACCCCAAACCCTACCCAATCCACCCAACCCCCCCCCCCCCCCACCGACCCTAGGCTCTGAGGCTTTTCCCTAAACCCTAAACCCTGAACCCTAAACCCTAAACCTATAGACCCTATAGACCCTATAGACCCTATAGACCCTATAGACCCTATAGACCCTATAGACCCTATAGACCCTATAGACCCTATAGACCCTATAGACCCTATGGACCCTATAGACCCTATAGACCCTATAGACCCTATAGACCCTAAACCCTAAACCCTAAACCTCAAGCCCTACACCCTAAACTCTAAACCCCGCGGCTCTGGCTCGACGCATCCTCCGCGGCTTTTGCCTCGCGCAGAAGCCGGCGGCAGCCGCAGGCAAAGGCAAAGGCCTGCAGGTTTAGGGTTTAGGGTTTAGGGGTTTAGGGGTTTAGGGGTTCAGGGTTTAGGGTTTAGGGTTTAGGGTTTAGGGTTTAGGATTTAGGGTTTAGGGTTTAGGGTTTAGGGTTCAGGGTTCAAGGTACCGCCCTGAAACATATTCCCTCATACGATCCCCGTAAACTGAATAAGGAAACAGATCACATATCCCTTAAGGGCCTGCCAAGTTGTTAAGGGTCGAGGATGTGAGGGCCTTTGATTTGCGGGTTTAGGGTTTAGGGTTTAGGGTTTAGGGTTTAGGGTTTGGGGTTTGGGGTTTGGGGTTTGGGGTTTGGGGTTTGGGGTTTGGGGTTTGGGGTTTGGGGTTTGGGGTTTGGGGGGTGGGGTTTGTGGTTTAGGGTTTGGGGTTTGGGGTTTGGGCTTTGGGGGTTGCTGGGTTGGGGTTTGGAGTCGAGGATTCAGGGCTTCCTGGGGGATTGGGGTTTAGGGTGTTCAGGGCGTCAAGCATGTTACGGGCAGTACGGGCTTGGCGCTTTTAAAGGTTTTCTCTGTTTGTTGCTTTAAGGGCTTTGGGTTTTGCGTTTTGTTGAGGAATTAGGGCCTTAAGGGTTCAGGTCTTAGGGCGTTGGGGTTCTCAGCGGTTTCGATTTGTGTTTGGGGCGCCTATTGCTTTGTGGTTTTTTATGGGCTTGAGGGTCTACTTGGCCCTCCCCTCCCTCTTCATCTGAGCACTTTGTCCACCCAAAAAAAGAAAGCGGATCAGGGTTTAGGGTTCAGGGATTAGGTTGGCTTTGAGTTTTTGCTTTTAGCTGTTGAGTATGTTTTGACAGGGTTTAGGGCTTTCTGGGTTCAGGTTAGTGTTTCGGGGTTTAGGGTTTAGGGTTAGGGTTTGGTTTAGGGGTTAGGGTTTAAGGGTTAGGGATTTGAGTTTTGGGTTTACAGGCTTACCAGAACTAGGCTAACCTTATAAAGGTTCCACCTAAAAACGGCAACTTAAAAAAGGGGGACCATTACTTAGATGAGGGCCCGCCCCCACGATGTCCAGGGCAGGGCTGGGAGG